CCCCCCCCCATACTTCCTTCTCTCTCATACGTGTGTATTTTCTGCGGTTTGCAGGATCCAGCAAATCTGTTCTTGCAGTATGTTCTCTACCTTGGTCTGCAGCTTGGAGGTTTGCTTTGCTGCTCCCAGCATAGGAAGGGTTTCATAAATATGTCGCTGGAGCTCATCTTGGGCTTGAGTTTCAAAAAACCCAATCATTTGCAGAATACTGATGCTCAAAATGTTCAGTTTGTATCCAGTTTTAAGCAGGGGATTAGATTATCCATTGAGTGGAAGTCCAGAGATCATGAAAAAGAGTTAGGGATTGCTGCAGTGATTTGCTGTTTCCAAGGAAAATCAGCAAAATGTATGCTCAAATGAAAGTGGAATCAATACCACCTCAGTTAATTCTGCAAAATCTATCATGCAGTCTTGCATTTGGGCTGGAAATTTCAAAGGGTTGTTAAATACGTAGCTCCTTTTCTCAGTGAGGTTTTTTTTTTTAACTTAATTAATCTTTCTTTAAAATCTCAATCTTACAACATTCAAATGTTTACAGTTTTTAAAATGTTTGTCCAAAATACTATATTTAATAAATTGAAACTAAACTTATATTGGTATCTGTAAAGGTTATGTGGCCATATTAAGGAATTATATATTTTCAAATTCAAAGGCTTTCTTTTTGGATGATAAATGTCAATGAGTTTTACTGCTGCTACATGGTGATGCTGTGACACAGGCATGACTGTAATGAAGTTCCGCAGTAGAAACTTTTTACTCATAGCAACCATGAAAACATTGATCTGGAACATTTCAGAAGTTCAAGATATTGCTAGTGAGATTCAGAATTTTCTAGTTCTTTATGAATGGAGTTAGCTGTAGCTGAGATTTAAATAGTTAGGTGGAGCAAAGATTGAGTGACAGCTCTAAAATATAGTTCCTGTGAGTGTGAATGTGTCTTCAGCAGCAGAACGGACAAAATCTGTCTGAGCAAGTAGGTTTCCAAAACAGAGGGAGTAAAAATTCGTTTGGATAAAAATTATGAATAAGCTACTCAAAAGTGTAAGGAGCTGCGTAGGTACCTAGATCCCAGAATTATGTTTACCCTTTCTTTCACTCATCTTGTAGAGCTACCAGTCATTGGGCATTCCTTTTGAATGGCTTTCTGCTGTATACCCTTGATCAGACTGCCATCTCTTAGCGCTCTCACTTGTTTCATCAGCAGACGTCAACTACTCATCTAGGGTACATGGATGAACAGGAAGTCATTTTGTACACAGCTGACATTGCCTTGTTTCAGGGAATGGTGAATGCAGTGAGAAAGCAGGCACAAGTGTATGGATTAGCTTGCATCTGTGGTTAGTTGGTTTACCTTCATTCCCTTGATTTTATATTGATTCAACAGGCTTGCTTTGTTGCTTTCCATAACAGCTTTTATTTCCAAGTGCCCATTTTAATAGGAAAAGCATCTAGCCTGCTGCATTTTGTTACAGAGCAAATTTGTAGCAATCATAGCTAGCAGTATGATAATTGTGAAAATTCAGAATTTGAACAGCAGTTTAAACAAGGCAGTTTTATGTGAAAACAGGTTATATACAGTGTTTCTACTCATTGAGTAATAAAACCTCCTGTGTTAAATCAGCTAATCTGGATTTGATGTTTGATTATCTGACTACTAAAAGGGGCTTTTTTATTTTATATAATATATGCTAACAGTTTCATTACATTCATTGTCAGTTGAATTCTGAGGTTGGTAGTTGTAACAGTGTGCCCAGGGAATACTGCTGACATGCATATCCCTTCAGAGAGTGGTTTTGTTCTAGCTCTGACAATGAAAACTGATATCAGAGTTGCAGTGAATGGCGAATATTCATAGTTCAAGGAGAATAGAAGGAGGGGGAAAGAGATGCATATTAACAAGTGGACTGGCTAAAACAAGCCAAAGAAACAGAGACAAAGGACTAGTAAAGCAACAAGAGCTTGTTTGATTCGTGAGAATGTGAAATACAAACCCACCCACCCATTGCAAAGAAATCCAATAAGTAACTAGTGATAGAGGCTGCCTGTTCATGAACACATAACTATTCAGGACAGCATTTCAGGATATGCCAAAAGCATGTGCCCAAGTGCTGCCCTGGGCAGGAGTGTTGTTGTCAATAAAACATCTTGTTTTGTTTATTTCAGAACGGTTTAGAATTTGTCACAAGTGACAAAGACTGGTGAGCATATGAGGATCGTTCATTTCACTTGTTTTTTCTTCTTTTCTGCTTACCCTCCTCTCCATTTAGATCTAACTTCCAGAAGAAGTACAACATAAAGCATGGAAGAGAAGAAGAAAGAGGAGAAAACAGAAGAGGATCTTACAGAACCTAGCTCAGCTTTTTTCGAATCCGTACTAGAATTTGAGTAGGTTTACTGTTTTTAACTTTTCACTCATATAGAATAGATTTCATAGGTAAAGCAGACAGAAAAATGAACTTAACCAGTTTAGGTCCTGTGGCAATTGTTTACTATTCTTTCGTGTTCTTGTTTTGGCTTTCCAAGCCTATTTCAGAAATAAAGACTTTTCAAACTATTTTACCTATGATAACGCATTTACGCGGGTCAGAAATATTTTTTTGTGTTTTTAGGTTGTAACTTAGGGAAATGAGTTTTATAAAAACCAAAACTTTTTTATTTATTAGTAACAGCTGTTTCATCAATGTGCCCTGAAGGAGCAAGTTCATATTCAATCATAGTTTCCAGGATTTCTTAGTTGTCATACAGGTAGGTAGTCACTAGCCAGAACTTCAAGATTGAGAGTTCTCTTTGGTGCAGCTGAGAATGGAGTACACAGGAAATTGTCATGTGCAGTAGACCTCAGACTGCAGTGTGTCATTCTGACCTTAAGGAGGTAGCAGAGCTTCTGGGCTGCCTCAGGTTCTCCGAAAAACCTCTAAAAGGCTTATCGCTAGAGGGAATCGCCAAAAGAGAGGGAATCATCCTTTTTCAATCCCACATCATGTATGAAAAGTTCTCAGTTGGCAGCTTACAGTTACGGTGGAAAAACAACCCCACTAAGATCAGTATCTGACACACTGTCTTTTCACACTGCTCTCAGAGTGCACCTCTACGTATATTCAAGTTATATTCTTATTTTGCTCTGCCTGAAACAAGAACTATGAACAAATTTGAAAAGCATGTTTAAAATTATCTTGGAGAGAGCTTTTTTCAGGAGCAGCCAATCTCTGCTTTCTGTTCTTTACCTCCGTTGATCCAGAGCGAGCATGATCAGCCATGACACTGGTATAACAGGATCTCCCATGGACCTTGCTACTTCTCAGAGTCCCATCCCCAAAAGAAATCACGTAGAAATGATTTTCCAAATAGTAGTTATCAGCATTTCTCCCATGTGCTCTCTCTAGATTTATATTCCAAATGGTATTCAAGCTAGTGTTTGTATCTGTCAATACTTCAGGTCGGTAAGAATCATTAACAAAGTCTGGAAATAGAAACACAAAGTCCTTAACAATCAGAATAATTTTGCTTCATCTGATGAGCTGGTTTCCTAGATGAGATTGTCATACTTTCACCTTAATAATGTATTTAACTCTGCATAATCAGAGCATTGCTGGTCTGCATATAAATCGATGTAATTTGAGAGGGAGTTGAAGAGTTTATTATCAAGAGATTGTAGGTACATCTAGCCAGAATCATGTTATTTCTATCCACATGCAGATGGTAAGTTTCTAATAAGCAACTCCTAACCATGCAATTCCCCTGCTGCATACATTGTTTAGTTGTTGTAAGTGGATAGGATTCCTTTCCTGGCTTATCTGTCTCTAAGACAGTAAGTCCTGCTCTCCTTTTTCCTCTAATTGTAGTCAGGGCTGCCATGAAGTCAACTCAAAATGTATAGTCACTATATATTGTTAAAAATTGTAGGCTTTGTGAAATCAGAAGCATAGCTGAGCAAAGCTCTGTTCACAGCTTCTAACGGAGGATGTAGCCAGTCAGTGCCAGGATTGTCTCCATATCCAGTGCACGTGCCAAGTGATGAATGATGAAATTGTGGACCCAAAATGGGGGCCTTGCTCACATAATGGTAACTGTAACCCTAAATTACTACCTTCCATTGCTGTTAAAAATTACAATTTTAGAGACGGCCACAGAGTAAATCTCATTGCAGACTGCTGACGCTGGGATGAAAAAATGGATTTTAACCAACCTTTTTGACTTTGAAAATAATGGAGGGAAAATTCAAATCAAAAGCTACATGAAAATCAAGCAGAGAAAAAGAAAGTAAGAGGGGCATAGTCCAAGAAGTTATAAAATAGTCTAATTTATTTGATATCCAATCTCTTAGGAAGATGATTGAAAGGAGAAAAATAACATTTTTTACTCTGAGACTTTTATCAAAGAGATGAAATTTGAAAAGGGAAAAGTCTCAGCACATCCAATATTCAACAACTATCATCAACATTTAAGGAGCAATGAGTACTAGCTCAGTGTAGGAACAAACAGCAAGGCAAGGGACATATAGTTACCACATACAGTTCTAGTGACCTCTATAGAAGTGTGCTGGGTTGATGTGGGATTTTCTGTTTTATTTTATAAAGAACAGAGTACGGATTTCCACAATGAAACAGACCAGATTCAGCTGAATTATATCACAGATAAACGTCATCGAAAAAGTAAACAACCAATGAAAAATATCGCTCTTTGCTAGGAAATAATAAAATGTACTACTGGTTTGAGGAAAAAATACAATTTTGGGGTAAAAGTATTGTTATGCATATTCCAATATCCAGACAAATGACTCATTTGTCAGAAAAGTTTTCCACTGAAATGTGTGCTGTACTGACAAAGGATAAGTAATTTCTAGAACAACAGTAGGTGGAAAGAGAAGAAAAAATACTACTTTATCTCTTTCTGTATCTTTCTCTCTTTTTTTTCTCTCTCTCTCATTCTTCACCTCTGTAAATCTATAAGCTCTCAGTTCCACTTTCCTTTTTGGAAAAAAAAAGCATAATAATACAAGTGAAGTTGTTTTTCACACTTACCTTTAGGATTTAT